ATATGAACTATATGAATATAATTTCAAAATGCTTTATAGAAATAAAGACAAACCTAAGTAACTGCAGAAATATTAATTACTTAAGGGTAAGCTGAACCAATATCATAAAAATGATGATGCTACATAAGTTAATTTACTCATTCAGTGCTATACCAATTAAACTACCAAAGTATTGCTTTATCAGAAAAAACAATAATGGAATTCCTCTGGAGGAAAAAAAAGGTCAAGAATGTTAAGGGAAATTATGTGTATTTAAAATAGTAAGGGAGCCTTGAAAAACCAGATCTCAAATTATACCAAAAAGCAGTAATTATTGAAACTATTTGGGCCAAGTTAAAAAATAGAGGTGTCAGTCAATGGATCAGATTAGGTATACGACATTCTGAAAAAAATGAACTTGGTAGACAAATGTTGTTATCCTATCCTAGCCATGATAAAAAAAAAATTAGCCAAGTTTCAGTTGTAGGAGCCCCATATGGTGTGAGAATTAACCTCATTTGTCCTGTGGTGCTAACTAATACTTGTAGATACTGTGTTCTCTTAACATCTAGCCTTAGAGGCCATTTAATCTAGTCCTTTATTTTTCAGATAAGGAGACTGGGGTATGGACATGTTGAGTAACTTGCACAAGGTCACACAGGTAATAATAAATAGTAGAGCTGGGATTTGAACCCAGGTCCCCAACTCCAAATTTGGCACACTTTTCACCAAACCATGCTATGCTACCTCCTTTTATTCCTAAAAAAAAAAAAAAGGAAAAAGAAAAAGAAAAAATCACTTGTCCTTTCTTTCTTTTTCTTTTCTCCCTCCTTCCTATTTTACCTTAAGATCAGAGTTTGGCTGGTCTTTCTAAAGCTGCAAATGTCGCTGTTATATCATATTTAATTCTGTCTGTTCAGCCACCCTAACTTAGGTTGAAGTGAAGTCTGTACAACTGAGCCTGATATCTCCAGATCCTGATCCCGTAGAGATGTGGTTCCTTGCCATAGATGGCATGGCACCATGTAATTCTATAGTGTGTGCAAGTCAACAGGCTTCACAGTGTAATACACAAGATAAATGGAACAACTTGGTGAGATATTGGCAAAAGAGAAGAGAGAGGGGGACCAGACAATTTCATTCTTCTTTTCTTATTGCTCAGTCATCAGAAGCCCTCTTCCACCAGAGGGGACTGAAATGATTATTGTCTTTGATTCTGTCTCCTCTGAGAGTGAAGAAGTAATGGATATTATTGTGAAATACCTTAGTTAAGGGTTCACATCCATTTCAAAACTGGGGTTATTACAGAAAGCAGACTCACTGAAATAGTTCTGGCCTGATAGAAGCTAATAGAAGAGGCCCAATAGAAGCTTGTAGTCTGCTAGCAAACTCAGTCTAGTCACATCCTGGTAATAAGCCAATCTGTTGTTTCCTATACTGCCCTTCACAAGCAACCATGAAATAGTGTTGGCCCTTTGACTAAATCTAGACTTCACAGAATTCTTCAGAATATGCAGAATTCTGTGAAGTTTGGATTCAAAGGGCTACACTTGAGGACCTAGAGGGCTACATGTGGCCTTGAGGCTGCGGTTCCACACCTCTGGATAGGTCACGGTTCATAGACCATATGGTTCATAGACTGTTCATGGTTGGGGAGTCATGGGATCATTGATCTGAGGAATTAATCCCACATCCCTTCAAACCCTGTTCCCTGTCATAGCTAATGCCTCTATGATTTTTAGGGTTCTGAGAGATCAAAGTTCTTGCCTTCATTCCTAAAGTGATCAAATATGTTGCACTGAGGCAGCACTGCAAAACAGGTGGAATTTATTTTCAGTGCCCCTAACTCCTTCTTTTGGGCTCAGACCCTTCTGGATTGGTATGTTGTCTTCCTCCCGTTTACTCCTTTGGAAACTGAGGTCCAGAGGTTAAATGATTTACCCAAGATAACAGAGGTAAGAGGAATGGGAAGTAATGGAAATAAGCATTTATATAGTGCCTACTGTATACCAAGCAGGATGCTAAGTGTTTTACAAATATCATGTAATTTGATTTTCACAGTCTTACTCTGTGAGGTAGATACCATTATATCCATTTTACAATTGAGGAAACTGAGACAGACAGCATATTAGTGACTTGCTCAGGGTCCCAAGGCTAGGAAGTGTCTGAGGCCAGATTTGAACTTAGGTCTTCTTTATGCCAGGTTCAACCCTCTATCCTTGCTCCACCTAGCTGCCTCATAGTAAGTATCAGAGGTGTCATTTGAACTGAGGTGTGCTGACTTCATGGCTGTCCCTGTCCTCACTGAAGTTAGTGTGCAGCTTCCTACATGGAGGGGTGTGTGTGTGTGTGTGTGTGTGTGTGTGTGTGTGTGTGTGTGTTTTGAGACAATCCTTTTTTGTATGGCTGTTTTAAAATGCAAGTATCAGTCATAATAGGATGTAGTAGTCTTGGTTTTGGAAGATTTGCGTGGGAGTCCCAGCTTTTATAGCTCTTAACTCCTCTGCTGACTTCGGTGCCCATTGTGATTTCTGAGGAATTAACCATCGCCAGCCCCCACATATAATGGGTTTTAGGGCTGTCAGAAATCAGAGTTCTCATCTTCAGTCTTACAGTGACCAAACGTGTTCCACAGAGACGAAACCCCAAAGTAGGCAAAGTTTGTTGTCAGTGACCCCCGGGCCATCCATTAGGTTTGGCCCTTCTGTATCAATGCCTTGTCTTCCTCCTGTTCACTCCATTTCATGCTTATTGAAGGCTGACTCAAGTAAGGCTCCCATCTCCTTTCTTCCTACCTCTCTAATGCTTTCCTGTTGCTATTGCATGCTATTGGGACCAGGCTTCCTGTGCTTTATGAGGTGACCGTTAGCTAATTTAATAACGCATTTGTCAGTAGACAGATTGCACAGTTCTGGGTGCATAGTAGGCTTTAACGAAATACTTCTTGTCAGACCAATAGCTTAATTTATCCATCCTGCTTCCTATCTGGCTTTCATCTGAACTGCCTCTGTTTAGGGGAGGGCTGCTCCATTAAATCCATTTGCTTGGCTGAGTACATATGTGCTAGGGGCACTGGGGGCCTCTAAAGAGGTCAGTGAGACCTTTCTTTTATGATATTTCTCTTTTAGAATATCCTTAAAAGCCTCTAGCTTTCCTCTCTCATTCCCTTTCCCTTGGCAACTGCCAGCCCCTTTTCTCGGCTACCACCCTCCTACACTACTCCCATCTGTTACCTCCTCCTCACAGCCTCACACCTGACGATGTCCCATATTCCTCTTACCACTAGGCCCTTTTCTTTCCTATCACATTTGTAGTCGCTGAAAAATGGAATTCCCTTGGTCTCCTTAGTGTTCTGCTTACTGAGAGAGACATCTGAGGAATTAACCCCACATCCCTCCAAACCCTGTTCCCTGTCATAGCTAATGCCCCTGTGATTTTTAGGGTTCTGAAAGATCGAAGTTCTCACCTGCATTTCTAAGGTGATCAAATATGTTGCACTGAGGCAGGACTGTAAAAAAAAATTCACTCTTAATTTTGGGCTCAGACTCTTCTGGATCAGTATGTCTTCCTCCTCCCATTCCCTCCTTTGCATGCTTGTTTAGCTTTCAATTACCTTTCCCCCCACCTCTTGCTTGTACTGTTGACATCCCATCCTACTGGGGCCAGGCTTTCTATATCTTCCATGGTAAGTTAGCTAATCTAATAATGCATTTGTCATATCAAAGCTAGAGTCCTTGTCCTGTATAACATTCAAAATTGTCCTGAATTTCAACTTCCTGTTTATCCTGAAGTTTGCTCTGAAAGACACATTTCTGATCCTATGGGGCTGTGCTTTTAGTTTCTTTCTTTCATTCTTTCTTCTTTTTCTCTTTTGTGTTCCCTGTCTACACTTTCTCTTTCTTCTGTTTAATTTTCCTTAGCAAGCATCATGTTTACTTTCTAAACTACAGCCTTGTATTGGTTTTCTTTCTGCATTACAGGGGCAATTAATCTTAGTCCTATATGCCTCTTCTGATAAATTACCCCTCCTCTCACCCATCTCCTCTTAGATTCTGCCCACCGAACCAGAAACCAAGTTAGTTTATCTGGATTTTATCTGTGCTGTGGAAGTTAGACAGGATTTATCAAGGGATAAATTGTAAATTGAAGTGATTACAATAGCTGATGCCAGGCACAGAGCCTCGAAAAGGTGTCTGCATTCTAGCATCAGCCATTTCTTGGAGGTAGCAAATTGCTCTAAAGGCTCTGTTTGGTTTAGGAGCTTTGTGTTACAGAGAGTGAGATCAATACAAGCTAGGAGCAGAGGCTTCATGTGCAAGATTCAGAGTGAACTAAGGCCACATTTGGGGTTTTTGCTCGCAGGTGGAGTTGCAGGGGGACCGTTCCCAAATCTCACTCTGGAATCAGAGGACCTGGGTTCAAATCCTGTCTCTGACAATACCTGTGTGACCTTGGTTGTCACCTGACCCCCCCGAGCCTCGGTTTCTTCATATGTAAAATGAAGGGTCTATGCTAGATGGTTTCAGAGATTCATTCAGTTCTAAATCTATGATCCCATGATCTTCCTTCTATTCCCTCCCCCTTGTTTCCATGCTTGTGAAGACCTTAGAGCTGTCCACAGCATCGTGATTTCCCTAGGAACTGTATCTTCTAGTTTCAGGCAAGCAGCTGTGTCTTCCTGTCTCCATCCTGCCCAGTTATTGGTGTTCACATTCACCCCACTCCTCCCCCTCCCCATTTGGTAACCACTAATCCCAGCCCTCCACTGTGCCACAAAGTCTCCACCGGCATGTTGGAGAGGTCTTTCCTGGGCCATTCGCCCTGCCAAGGCTGCTGAGCCAGGAATGAGGTATACCTGTGCTTCTGCTTCCTAGGTATTCACATCAAAAAACAAAAAACCCCAAAACAAAACCAGCCAACCAACCAATCAGGAAACCTCTGGCACCATCCCACTGCACCCTATGAGCTATGCAATGTCTTCTGATTTTCTTTTCTCTCTGTGTTTTCTCTTCTTGCTGCAGGAAGGCAATCTCTCGGTCAGGCCTCCAGCATTTGGCTCCAGTGCATTCCCTCAGCCTACCTATTGCCAATGGTCCAGCGAAGGAACCCAGAGCAACACTAGACTGGAGTGTAGGTGTTGGTTTTGACTTTTAAAAAAAAATTTAAAATATTTCACCATAATTAAATGCCTCTCCTATTCTCTAGACTGTGATACCTTTGGCTCATACCCACTGTATCTTTTTCAGGTAGTAATGAGGGTGATTGTTGTTGCTCCTTGACTCAAATCTATGTACAATGTTGCCTCACTTAATGAATCCTGTGGAAAAGATCATTTATATGAATTTATCCCTGTTTAAAAAGGCAGACCAAAAGGACAGCTAGCTCTAAGATGGTCCTAACTTTATAAATCATTCTAGCATTACAGAATTTAGTGCTGGAAGGAGTCTTAAAGATCAGCAGAACCAGCTCTCCCTCCACCATGTTGCCAATGAGGAAAATGAGGCCGCAATAATCTCAGAATCATATTATCACGATACTGAGAGTTGAGAAGGGCTTCAGTAGACATCTAGCCCAATCTTAGGGCATTTAGGTGACTCAGTGGATGGAGCACTGGGCCTGGAGTCAAGACTGAGTTCAAATGTAGCTTCAAACACTTACTATCTATGTTACCCTAGGCAAGTCACTTGACTTCTATCTGCCTCAATTTCCTGAACTGTACAAGAGGTATAATGATAGCACCTATCTCTCAGGGTTGTTGTGAGGACCAATTGAGATAATGTTTGTAAAATATTTAGCACAGTGCCTGGCACATAGTAGGTGCTTAGTAAATACTGGTGGTTTTTTTCCTCTTCCCCCATACACAAAAGGAAACTCTTCTATGATGAGGTTAAAGTGACTTGGCCTAGGTCACACAGGTAGTAAATGGCATAGGCAAGACTTGAACAAACCTTCTGACCACAGAGCCAGTACTTTCTACAAGACAGTAGGCCATCTCTTTGGGAGTAGGCTTTATATGTGTCAGCAGCTGCTGCTCAGAATATCACTGGGTGAAATGTGTTTGTTTCCACCCAGTGGAAGGGAAATAGTGCCTACCAGGGCAAACTTACAAGGTATGTCTTCTGGTTCCTGCCCTTCTTTTTGCTTAATTTTCCCTCTTTGTTGGTCACATCTTCCCCAAGTACTTTTCTGTCCTCTCTTCTGGCTAAGCAGCCATTGATATTTAGTGACTGATAGACTGACTGATCATTTCGTGAACAAAGAGTCCATTAAAGGGATTTTAGGCAACATCAGGATAATTAGAGAGATTTTTTTTTGATTGGAGATGGGGAAGGGAGACAGGGAAAACTGAAATCATGCTAAATCTCAGTTAGTACTGAGGGTAAACCTGATTTGGCCCATTTGGCTGGAGGTAAGAGATTATCAGAAGGGATGGTACCTCAACTCTTCTCCAACAGAAACCTCCATTCTTCTTTGGGGAGACTAAATTGGGGACTAGCTTGCTAAGGCAGCTGGAGATTTAGTCTCAGGGGTGACTGAGAGGCAGGAAAATTTTCTTTGAAGACCTAGAATGCTTTGAATATACCTGTCTGCAAATCCACTCTAGTCTAGACTGACCCACTTCCAAATTCTCCCTTTCCCCCTCCGCCTTCCTTCTCTCTCTTTTTATTTTTAGGCAGTTGGGGTTAAGTGACTTGCCCAGGGTCACACAGCTAGTAAGTGTCAAGTGTTTGGTCTGACTGCATTTGAACTCAGGTCTTCCTGTTTCAAGGCCAGTGCTTTATTCACTGTGTCACCTAGCTGCCCCTCAGTGATTTTTCATAGTATATTCTGATATCCTAAAATGCATTCCTCATTTTCTTTTTCTTTTTTGGTGAGGCAGTTGGGGTTAAGTGACTTGCCCAAGGTCACATAGCTAGTAAGTATTAAGCGTCTGAGGTCAAATTTGAACTCAGGTCTTCCTGACTCCAGAGCCAGTGCCCTATCCACTGCACCACCTAGCTGCCCCAGCATTTTCTACTCGTATTGCCTTTGATTATATAGTTTCTGGCAAAGGAAAAAGCTTGTTACTGAAATGCTTGCTCTTTGTTAAAGGAGTTGCCAGTACTGAGGCTTGAGAGAGCTCAGATACTGCTTGGCTTTTTCTAAGGCCATTCAGGTAGGAGACTTTTCCAGTATTTCAGGATAGTTACTTAATGTTATTTAGGATAGTTATTTAATGAAAACTTAGATCATAATAGCCTGCATTTTGACTGGGGAGAATTTAAATTCAATTCATTGAACATGTATTAAACACTTACTATGAGCCAGGCATTATGCTAAGTGCTGAGGGATACAATTAAGAAAAAGAAAAGTAGTGCCTGAAGGAGCTTGCCTTCTAATGGGGAAGACAACTCAAAAAGAACCTGTAAAGGAGAGGGGTGCTGAGGGAATTGGGAAAGTGCTAAGTATCCAAAACTTTGTTAAAGAGCATCATAATGAGATTTCAAGTGATCAGCTTATCCGGGGTAGGGAATCATATTCAAGCCAAACTAAGGGGCAGATGGAAAGCAGAGAGTTAGCTTTCCCAAATCTAGCCCTAATGCACACCTGTGATGCTTTTTCTGGGTCATGTTCATGTCCACTATGTATCTCCCCCCAAGGCGAAACTCCTACATATATTTTCTTCTATTGGAATGTAAGCTCCTTGAAGGCAAGGCTTGTTTTAACTTGATTGTTTTTGTATAAGGGTGATAACTGGGTTCTAGTCTTAGCTCTATCATTAGCTAGCTGTGTTTCTCTGGATAAGACATGTGACCTCTCTAGGCCTCATTTTCCTCATCTGTGAAATAAAATGCTTGGAGATGATCTTTGAGGACTTTTCCAGTGTTACAATTCTATACAATTCTATAACTTTATGCATATGGGTATTAGTGAATGATTGGGTAAGATTTCCAAGGTACAAGTAGGCAGTTAGCCTCAGACCCCACAGTGGTAGCTTGATTCATTAATGATTCTCCTATGGTTTGCGTGCTGTGAGTAACAAATTTCTCCATAGATCCATATATGAATATATGAAAAAGTTTCAGTTAAGTTCTTATGAAGTACCAGGCCCTGAGCTCCACCTCCTGTGATCCAGTATTCTTTCCAGGATACCACACTACCTAGTAGTTCTTTGGTGAATAGAAATTTGGAGCATTTAGATCCTGAAAAACTATCTTTCTGACCATTAGGCACTAGGTGGTACAGTGGATAGAATGCTAGACCAGGAATCAGGAAGAACTGAGTTCAAATGTGACCTCACATACTTCCTAGCTTTGTGACACTGGGCAAGTTACTTAATCCCTGTCTGCCTAATTTTCATCAATTGTAAAATGGTAATACTATAACTACTACTACTATTATTAATAATAATAATAACACCTACCTCCCACGATTGCTGTGATTGGTAAATGAGATGATATTTGTAAAGTTCTTAGCACAGTGCCTGGCACATAGTAGATGCTTAAAAAATGCTTGTTCTCTTCCCCTTGTTGGATTAGAGTTATTTGCAAGCCTGTATTTTATTAACAGAAAGTACAGTGAATGCTGCTGGGGGGTGCCTATATTTATCTCTGTTTCTGGAACATAGGAGCATAGATTTAGAGCTAATGTAACCTTAATGGTCATCTAGTCAAACCGCTTAACTTTATAAATCGAGAAACTGAGACCCAATGAGCTTAACTGATTTACTCAATGCCATTCAGCTAGAATGAGTGGTACAGTGGACAGAGCACTGGATTTAAAGTCAGGAATACTCATCTTTATGAGTTCAAATCCAGCCTCAGACAGTTACTAGCTGTGTGACCCTGGGCACGTCGCTTAACCCTGTTTACCTCAGTTGCCCATTTGTAAAACAAGCTGGAAAAGGAATAGCAAACCACTTTAGTATCTTTGCTAAGAAAACCTCAAATAGGGTCATGAAGGGTCAGACACGACTCAACAACAACATTCATATTGAAAATGGTAGATTTGGGATTCAGATCAAGATACTGTGATTTCAGGTCCAGCACTGTTTCCACTACTGCTTCCCCAACACCTTCCTGGACTGAGAATTGGAAAGCCAATACAAGATGGTGAAATCCTCAAATCCTAACAACTATAAGTAAGCTTAGGGAAAACAGTCTTAGAGGCCAAGAAATGTATTCTGGTGTCCATTCTCAGGCCCTCCCCATGATATAGCGAATCCATAGAAAAGCAATGACTTCTACTTTCTACATCACTCTAGCATCTCCAGCTCTATCCTGACTAACTAAATTAAAATTGCTCAATTCCCAGTAATACCTACTCTGGGAAGATCCTTGCAATAAGAAGGGATTGGACAGAAATTGGAATGAAAATACCAAGGAAATGGAAGAAATGACTGGTGTCTTTGACTTCAGAAAACATGCCCACAACTTTACTAAGCAACACCAAGTGATGAGTTAGTGAGGACAGAGGCAGCTAGGTGGCATTGTGGATAGTAAGCTATACTTGCAATCAGGAAGACCAGACACTGAATAGCCAGTGGGCAAATCATTTAAATTCCCAGCCTCAGTATTCTAATCTGTAAAAATGGGAATCTCACAGGTTGTTGTAAAAATAAAATGAGATTTAAAATGCTTTGCAAACCTTAAAGCATCATATAAATGTTAGCTATTATTTATGGTCTAAACCAATATGCCGTGACTTAACCTAACTTGTATGTAGTTTCCTCTTTGAGCTGTCCTTCATACCTTAGTGAAGTTAGTGGTATACTCTAAACAACAAAGCAGGTGCTTTGCTGGGAAGGGATGGTAGGTGGAGGCTGCCAAAGAAATAAGAGGCAAAAGCCTGCTATTTCAAAAACACAGTTTTTAGAGGAGAAAACCCTGATTCCTTGCATATGGTAGCTAGACTGGATGAATTCTTTTTTTTTTTTTTATTTAGTTAGGGAATGGGGTTAAGTGACTTGCCCAGGGTCACACAGCTAGTAAGTATTATGTGTCTGAGGCTGGATTTGAACTCAGGTCCTCCTGACTCCAGGGCCGGTGCTCTATCCACTTCGCCACCTAGCTGCCCCCACTAGATGACCTCTAAGGTCTGTTCAGCTTGTCTAATCACAGGTCTGACTGTTTGCTCCTTTGGGGGGGGGT